CATCAGAAATTGTATAATCTATTCCATAACCAATATATGCTCCACAGAGTAAGAAATTCTTGAATTTATTCTTCGTTTTCAAGTTTCGTCACAGCGACCATCTTGGAGGAACTTCAACAAAGGATTTCTCATTAGTATTTATTGTTCATTCCTCCAACATGGCCGCCAGTCTTTTATCTTTTGATTCTCATGGGAATGGTTGAAATGATCAATATTGAGGTCGTCCAAGAGCAAGTATCATTTAGAATGATCCATAATTCAGAATGATCCAAAACAGAGTGAGAATTCACAAGCATCTTCCACCCTTTAAAGACGAGATGTTGCAAAGGATGACATGCAGTAATTATAAAGTCCAAGGGACAGCGATTAATATATGAGTGACATGAATATTTTCTAATCCTTAAAGAAAGGATGCTCCAATGCTTGACTTGCAGTAATTCTTGTGTTTGGGTTGAGATCTAGACACCTCTTCAGAAGATCGTACGCTGAACTAGGAGCACTCCAACAGCAGTAAGACGTTTGGCTCTGGCATGGACTACCGTCCAAATGTTTAGTAAYAGAATCGTGAGATCTACTGGCGCATTGAACAGGATTTTGCTCCTTGCATAAATAACATATATTAGATTGAGCATCTATTTGAGAGTCATCTGAATTAGAAGGAGTTTTTGAAGATGGGCTTTTTTGTCTTAGTTTTTTGGGTTTACAATGTTTTGGTTCATTTGTTTCTTGCACTACACACTGTACTGTTGCTGTTTTTCCACATCCTTTGCGTAATTGTTGACAAGCTGCCTTGAGATCTCCTTGTGACAAATTGATGTTTGATACCATGTCTTTGCCTAAAGAAACAATAAAAATGTAAGATACGTTGAAGACTTAGCAAATTGGACAGTTTTCAACAAAATTATTTTTTGGCCCTCATTTATAGTTTATGCAGAATAAAATTTAAAAAAATACAAAAAAAAAATCATCCTTTTTGTCTCCTCTGAGCAGATGAGAGACCTGAATGAGTCCTGTATTTCCATTGTTTAATAATAGCCTACTTGCAAATTTTGCCTCTGTAGTCACACACAAAGGAATCAAGACGAGGCGCCGTGCATAAAGCTCAGTCATTGGTAAAAAGACAATAGTTTTTCACAACTGAGTGAGGTTTACACACAGCGCCTTGTCTTGATTCTTTTGTTTTTTACTACTGAGACAAAATTTGCAATTTGCCTATTGGTGCAATGTCTTAAGGCTGATTTACACGGCACGATTGTGTCGTGCGATTTGTAGTATACGACTTGAATCGCGTAGTGTAAATGCCCCTACGACTTGTCTACAACAGTCGTACGCAACCTACRACTTGTAGTAGGTTTTTGAACCACTGCTTAAAATCCTACGACTTGTAGTAGRAAAATCGTATACTACAAGTCGCACGCGACAAATCGTACCGTGTAAATCAGCCTTTAAAGTCTCCATGGAATAAAATGAAAGAACCCTGTTTACTCAAACATCTACTGTACTGAATGCTGTCAGTTACATCTAGTTGAATGTAATGCATTTCTTCTTACCAAGTTGATCAGCAGTTTTGATACAATCTGAGCTTCCAACCATACTTATTATCTGTGCCAAAGCAGTCAAGTCATCATAAGCACGGAARAAAGGATATCTCCCACTTAACARACATAGCATTATAATCCCACCAGACCATATRTCYACAGCTGTKGTCTGGTTAGGGTRTTTTAATAGAACTTCAGGAGATCTGAACCCTGGAGTACCAGCTCTTGGGGCATTTTGATGACTCCTAAACAAAACAAATGTGTGAAAATTCAGTATGACAAACGTGGAACAGACAACTTTCGCTATTTTGGTTGACTAATCTGACACAAAAGAATTGAGAATGAGGCTCAGGGGAAACAATGGATAATTGTTTTGTTTCCCCACCAGCCTTGTCCATATTTCTTGTGTACATGACCATTTCAACACACAACACATTTCCCCACACTGATAGGAAATCAAGAGAGGTGTACACAAAGTAGTTRCTCTTTCTTGATGTTCTTGGGTGAATGGTACTTCACATTTCCCTGACTTACTATCTTGAAAGGCATCTAGTCCTTTGCATTGAAAATGCCCTGATAGAAAGCCTTGTTTTGCACCTACAGACAATTATTCACAGGTATCTATCATTGGATGGTCAATGGTTGTCTCACTTCGATGCAAAGGCACAGCTACCTTTCAAGATGGCACATTCAGGGAACTCTGAATAGACAATTTCTAGTTTTATTCCCCTTTTGTCCTCTTCTTTACATGTGAGAATTATTCACTCACCTACTCATACAACCRGTGCAAATCTCTTCSGCKGTATGCTTATTAGGRCAAAAAAGCCTTGTTTTAGATGATTGCCTCAACTCTTGAACCTTACTTTGTCTTTTACTAACTGGCATTTTGAAATTTCTAGGATTTTGAGTAAATGGAATATTTCCTGATGGTTTTAAAACTGATTTTGTCTTGCTGCTAGGAGATTTTTTCYTTGTTGAAGYCTCCTGARTTTCAYTGYTRTTTTCTACTTGGGGCGAGAGGCGTGTGCTGCGACGAACTGGATTTTTTGAACTGTTCTTTGGTGTAGTTGSTTTCTTTTCAGAAGAAACTTCTGTTAACCATAAGAGATTTAGAAGTGAAAATTATATTAAATTACAGTAGATGGCAAAATGTATTTTTATTTCACGTGGCTCTCTAGGTTATTAAATGCAAAGTTTTTGCAGAATTCAMAKGTAMGTATGCATTTGAAMTTAAACTGACCTAGCAGTGAAGARGTACTCCCAGGAACTGGCATTGCCAGACCAAAATCTACCAGAGAATACCTGGAAATTGAAAAAAAAAATACCACATAAACATGAAATACTAAAATGACCACAAGAAATAGTAAAAAATCTAAGATTACGTTTATAACCACTAGTCCTCTCAATCAACTTACTGTTTTGTCCTGAATGAATACAGAAAATTACTTGGTTTTATGTCACGATGGATGACATTAAATGAGTGCACCCTCCTGAGYGCAATAAATAGATTTTTCATGTACTGTTTAATGTGGCACATACTCATATTAAGAAAATATTCCTGAAAAAAAAAAACACAATAATGAAAATAAATATGTATTCATCATCAAACTTCAGAGAAATATCAACTGATCACTGCACAAAAATAATTTTGAAAATCTCTGTACTGACATAAAGACAACCAAAATAATAAAATGAGTCTGCTTTGAATTATATTRGCAAATACTGTACCTGAAACTTTCTGTGATCGACATAAGGTAGTACAAAAACAATGTGGTCATTTCGTCTATAAGCAGTTTCAATTCCTATAACATTATCTTTTCCTCTGCAAAAGAATCAAATTATTGAATTATTGAAATGTGTACATACTAAATTCTCGCATGTGTACAATATTTACAACCGGAAATTAGTGTATGCCTTATAAGAACAAGTTTACAAAAGGGTGAAAAAATACATTATAAGACAAAAATTGGAAAAAAAGGAATTACAAAAGGACACAAAATACATCATAAATGAACAAAATCCATTTGATCAAACAAAGCTTTGTGTGGACTGAGAGATATCATGTCCATTGACTAAATCTGCCATAGCTATTTTATATCTTGCCCTTGCTTTTTGCGCACTTACCCAATACGTTGTAAACATTTCAATTCATTTTCTATTCTAGTTGGACCACTTGTTGGTATAATGTGCTTTAAAGCACAAAGATGGTCTGGAAAAGCCTTCATCTTTGCTAAGTACACATTACTAAAAGTGCCTGAAATTTCAATTACAACATGGTGTCATCTCCTTTTGATAGTGAAAGATTAGTGAGAATAACAGTTCGTAATCCACTCTGAATCCATTGTTTTCTTTGTTTTTTTTACTGACAAATACTGTCATTTTATTGCATGATCAAATGAAAACGACTCTAGTAAATGTGAATGACACTGAATATAGAGAAGTTTGGAGTCATTTACATTAGAAGAACTCAGCACCTTCATTTAAGGAAATCAATCCCCCGTWAACACCTCTAAAATCCAAAAAAATGAAAAGTATTGTGTAAATGCTAACTAGAGGCCTCAATCGCAGACATCTTGAGTTATKGRGACTTCAATGAGTTCCTGATTTAGTCATTTTGAYGTGGGACAATCTCTGGTTTATTCTCTAATGTGGTAATGGAGTTTGTTTTGTATAAATGTATGACTCACCTTCTCCGACTTTTGATACTATAGTGAAGACTTCTTCTAATTCTGGGAATTGTTTTAGAATATCCCCAGCCTCACTATCACCAAACCCTTTCAAGATAAAGTGTACTATTAGCATTTGATACATGCATATATCAACAAATATTTTATAGCATAGAAATGTACTTTATATAATACTTCTAWTTTTGACGTGACATCCAATAAGTTCACTGCACACAAAAGAGAAGAGATTTAGAGTGAGCCTTCAGCATTTAAGCCAACCATATAATGTTTGTTCACAAAGCTTATTGTGTACAATAAAAAATTAAACGAATCGAAATACAATTAGAGAACTTTCGTCACCAAAACATATAAATTTCGAAGTTACAACTCACCTTCAAAATTATTGGGACTCGAGGGAGGAGAATTGGGCTTTCGTTTGCGCTTTCCYGAAGGAGGAGAACTATTTTTGGGTGTTTTGTCTTGAGCAGATCCATTTTGAACGTCTTCGGCAGTTGTAACGCTTTCTTGAAGACCTATACTTTCTTCGCTTCTACACTCCTCCAGTTCCATAGCCATTCCTCCGGTAAATTCTTTTAGTTCATATAATCATTTTGAAGCTTCTTGGTGAGTGAAGAAAGGTTTAAAAGGAGAATTTTTAAAGGATTTCGAACTCAAATCAAATACAAGATGGTTTACTAAATTTTCCCGCCATTTCTAATGCCGCATAGGATCATGGGAATTTCTCTGAGTTTCACAGGGATCCCAAGTTAAGTATATATTTGGTAGTACATTGTCACTGTATTTCAATATCTTTTGCGTTCTTTATTAAAGAGAAATTATTGGAAACAAATATCAGATACTCAAAAAGCATAAAAGCTCGCTTTTAGAGATGTCAAATATACAGAAAATATTTTGACACGGATGGGAATTCTGTGGTACATTTTGTCGAGAAGAACTGTGAACTAGTATTTAMTAACAAAAAGAGTCACAAGACTTGGATTTTCTCGGATTTCTTAAAACTAGGATTTTTTTTACGGATGTGACATGACATAACAAGACTTTGTCTTTGAAAAGATGCATCGTCTACTGTCGCCGATCGTGATTTGTCTGGTTATTTTTGCATTTACCRATGGCCACCCCATTCCAACATACTTCGCTCGYCTTCACGAAGATGGGTCTCTCATGGATATGAACAGCCCAGATTATCGGCTCAAAATCGATTTCGTTGACCTTGAAAATCCATCGTCAGAGATCTTGGGKATTGTCCATCAAGAGCGCAAAGCGTACATAAAAGTTCTTCCAGATGTTGTGGAAAATGGCGCAGAAGTTGAAGTTTTTTGGCGAAGTCATAACAACACAAGCAAAAAAGATTTCATTGCGCTCTACTGTCCTTACGATGGAGACCACTCCAGTTATCTGGACTTCTTGTTTTTGAATGAAACTAGATCTACCTTTGCTGGTGGCGAAGGGAAGTTCAAGSTGAAGTTATATAACATGAGAGTGGACTGTGAGTTGAGATATTTTCTCAATGATGGCAGGAATGCGTATCTCATATCAAGAAGCAATAGAATTAGGTTCAAAAGCAATGAGCCYCTTCARGGYCATCTAGCTTTGACGGGAAACCCYTCTGAGATGAGAGTGATGTGGACATCTGGGACAGGTTGGTCAAAAACTATTTATKTTTTTYTTTATGTTGTTGACCTCCTTTTTTTCAGTTTGATAGTTTAATTTTTCGAAGTGTCTATATATTTCGGGGACCCTTACTAATACATAACAACACCTTTTCTCCACATAAGTACTAATTGTTTCGTATGAGTAATACTTCCTTGTGAATATATGGTACTTCTTTGCTTTTATTCCAAAAATTCTTTTTATAATAGTACTTAGTGTGGTACATCAAACTTGTCAGAAAATAAGACTTCAAGCTAAATATAAAACTTGTAACGAAATCCCTTCGAGCCCAGTTCCCCGCGGCCAACAAGAGTCAAGAAATTTAACCCAGAAGGGTTTCTCAGGCCCAAACTCTCTCAGAGCGGCTAGGAACGCCTGGCTTCGCAGGCTAAGACAAATTGGACGAATTTAARAGCTTTGTCGAAGATCTGTCCTTCAAAAGGTTACAGACGAATCTGTTTACTGAAGATATGTTGCCGTTGAAGTCCTTGGTCTAACTAAAAATGCTTACCAAAGATTAGTGTTATTTCTCTGCCYGTTCAAAGAAAGTTATGTTTCAACAGTGTCAGTGGATGCTGATTGTAAAAGAATACAAAAAAACCCTAGTAAAAAAGTACCGCCTTGCAATTTTTGTAGCGCGATTGTCACTTCCTTCTCTCGTACCTCAAACCGTACGTGTAAACAGCCCTGCGATTGTCGCGGCGATCAAAAATCGTCTCGAGTTGCAGCTAAATTTCAAGCATATTCTGATTGTTTGACGTGGTACTGTCTCTGGACAGACGGGACAGAATGTCACGAAAAATTAGATATTTTAAAGCTTTTTCGGCGCTCGGCATAGTATACAGTCGATGTGGCACTTTGGATTTTCACGTCTCTGGACAAAAACCTTAGATGTCCGGGAGTCCGAATTGCGCGAGAATGTAATTCTAGTCTAATCAAAAATACTCCGTCAATAATTGAAGAAGCCCATCCCAAAAGCAATGAATTGGCAACTCATTCATGTTCAAAGAGATGCTTCAAAAATATTCCGTTGCAATCCTGCGGAAGTGTTTGTGGAGTTGCGGCAGCAGTATTGGCAGGAATTGCATGTCAAGATCCATCTTTATGGATCGACGTATTTTTGAAACCACAGTTGTCACTTCCCAATTCACTACGGTGACTATTGGATCCGTCTGCAGAAATAACATTCACGGCAATGGTACAGAACCAGAACATTCAATCAAGGATAGTCAAGACGATAACAAAGAGAAAAGAACAAAAGACGATATTGAGGGGGAGGGAAAAAACACTTCATTATTTTATGTGGGGCAGAGGTTTGAGACAATTGATCACTTAGAACAAACGAAAAAGAAATATGAAGATGTGAACTTTTGTGAAATCATAAAAAAAGATTCGACAACATTGAAAAAACTGCCAAGAAAAAGACACCAAAAAGAGCAGCCGACGCGAATAAAGCACTGAAATATTACAACTTGAAACTTGAATGCAAGTTTGGAGGCAAACCTAAGGAACTCAAAGACAGGAAGCGAAAGACCAAGTCTTTTAGACAAAAGTGTCCGTTTGAAATTTACATTACACTTTCAGATGACAAACAGGCCTTAGAGGTGCTTCGAATAAAAGAACAGCACAACCATCCCTTATCGAAGCACCTCTATGAGCACCTCCCACGACAGAGATTCCTGGTGGCTCCTGAAGTAAAAAATGAATTAGAGGCTGCTATAAAGCCAAAGGCAAACAAAAAGCTAATAAAACAGAAAATTCAAGAATCTACCGGCCCAGAAGTACATAATTTGCGTTTTGAGGTTGACGCAAGTACCAACCACGATAACAACCACGWACAGCATAGAGGAAATGAAGCGATAGCAGAAACTAGCAGTCAAGCAGTACTTACTCAAGCACAAAAGTTTCAACGTGCAAACAAAACCGCACAGGTCCTAGCATCCTTAGCTAGTGAAGGTGGAATGCGGACATTTCATTCCAGGATGTCAGTGTTGGAAGATATTCTTAGACACTGGCAGCTTGGAGAGGAAGTAACTCTGCAAGTACCACAGATTGAAGATCACAAACCACCTCA